CCCAGGAGACAAGAGTGTATAACATCTCTCCTTACTGTTAGAAGGACTCCTACCCACTCCTGTAGTTCCTTTTCTGAGAACCCCCTGCTACGTGCTCTTGAAATGTGTTTTAATAAATTCTCGTCATCTTTTCATGACCTTTGGTAAATTCTTTTCCTCTGTGTCATTGGCTGTCACATATGGTATAAAGTCCATTTCCCACACTCTGGTGTAGCTGAGGATGCCTTGAGCTTCTGATCTTCCTGCGTCTACTTCTCAAGTGCGGGAATTATAGGCGTGCATCACCACTCGCATTTGTGTGGTACTGGGATGGGACCCAGGGCTTTATGGTTTTCATGCGTGCTTGGCATTCTTCCAACTTAGCTACATCCCCAGCCTGCCTTTTCCTTTCCAGCACTAGGGGTTGAGCCCAGGGCTTTGCTATCGATATGGGCAATGTTCTAGGCCTATTTTTTTTTTTTTTTTTTTAACTTTTTTTTTCTTTAAAAGAGATTTTTTTAAAAATACTTTTTTTGAGACAGGATTTTTCTGTGTAACTTTTTGACTGTCCTGGAACTCACTTTGTAAACCAGGCTGGGTGTGAACTCTCAGAGATCCACCTGCCTCTGCCTCCTGAGTGCTGGGATTAAAGATGTGTATGTGCATTGGTGTTTTGCCTACATGTGTGTTTACATGTATGTCTGTATGAGGGTGCCAGATTCTCTGGAATTGAAGTTGCAGACACTTATGAGCTGCCATGTGGGTGCTTGGAATTGAACCCGGGTCCTCTGGAAGAACAGCCAGTGTGCTCTTCACCACTGAGCTCTCTCTCCAGCCCTTATTTTTTTACTTTTTATTTTGAAACAGGGTCTCACTACATTTCCAAGATTGACCTTCACCTCCCTCTCTAGTCCAAGAAGGACCTGAGTTTGTGATCCTTCTGCTCTACCTTCTGAGTATCTGGGATTAGAAGCCTGCACCATCAGGCCCAGTGACACAGGCTGACTTTTAAAACAGCTGTATTTTTATCTTGATGACTCTCCTTCACTTGTCCTGTGCTCAAGACCATTGTCTCACCTCACTGTAGGCCTCATCCTCTTTCTGGCATTTTTTGGTAAACCTGATCCCAATGGGTCCAGGCAGTTCCAACAAGCTCCAGGAACAGGTACTTGCCGAAATGCCAAGGCTGGCTACAGGGAGAAGAGTGACCAGCAGAGGGCAGCAGCATGCTTCTTTAAATGGTTCAAACACAAACCAGCCCTTCCACAGGCCCTTGGGAGGCAGGGCTGCAGCTGGGCTCTGGGGTGAGGGTAGGGAGGGCACAGAGGGTACACTGCCTCTTCCTGCTGCTGCTCTCTGCTTCTCCTTAAGAACTCACTTTTTTCTGAGGTTCCCCGGCTTCCACCACCCAGCTCTGGCATGTCAAGAGAGGTGTCTAGTTTCCTTTGTAGCCACACTGGTCATATATCACCTCAGAACATGGGAAGTAGGCTGATTGGAATGAGGATTGTTGTTTAGCTGTAAAATCTGTGCTCAGTTCTGAGCAGTTAGAAGAAGCAACTGCAAAAAAAAAAATACATACATAAAAATAAAAATCATATTGAATTTCCTGTTGGTCACAGGGTGACAGTGCTTTGAGTGGCCTGGTTCCAGGGAATATATTATCAGGATGAGTTTCCTGGGCTCCTGTTGCCTTCCGAAGCATGCTGGACACAGTGCTCTAGGACAGTTTCACCAGAGTACCAGTCGTGCAAAGTGCATTCCTGTCTGCCATGCACACTGGGTCATCCAAGGACAGTTCGGCACTCATGGTGGTTCCCATGGGTGCTCCTGGGGCTCAGTTGGCCTGGGGGCACACCTTGTTTTCCTGACTCTCCATTTTGCTTCCCACCCCATGGCCTGCTTGTGAACAGCCCTTGGTGCTGCAGTGAGGGAAAGGATCTCTCAACACTGTCCCTGATGACCCAAGGCAGAACTCTGCCCCAGAGGTGGGAGTCTTGTTTGGGGGGGTCACTGTGGGGTTATTTGTCTACTGAGGCTGCTGGCCACACCAGTATGTGGTCACTCACTGGGCTCTGCTCTGGACAGGCAATAGGCTGAGGTATGCAAGGTGCCAAGACTCTATTCTGCCCTGGATAGGGCCCCAGTGTGGCTGAAGCCCAAGTGAGGGACAGGCTGGGGCAGTCACCATAAGAGGGTCATATAGGTACATGGAGTGTGACCGGGTCAGGTGAGGGATGAATAATAGGGTTGTATGGTGTGGGTCAGAAGGTGGGGCTTCTAGATAGAAGGCTAAGCCTGGCTGAGATACACTGGAGAGACCACCAGCCTCTGTGGGGGTCTGTCTAGCCATTTCCAAGAAGGTGGGTGGGACTGTGTAACAAGACTGGAGAGAGAATGATTTTAGCCTAAACCTATTGCACTCCTGCAATGTGCACGGTTCAGCTCAGCACTCACTGCCTTGCCTTCTTAGTCCTTGGTTCACTCATCTCAGTGGGCAGCGGCAGCAGAGACTGCAGTGACCCTTGTGACATGCTACCAGAGAGGAGTAAAGGGAAAGTTCCAGGGGACCTCTTCTCATAAGGCTGGGAACATATTGGAGCTTTCGCAGTGACGAGGGAGGCTTGTGGAAGCTCCCAAGAGAGTAGCTGGCAACAAAGCCTTGCAAGGGGACTATGAGTCTATTTAGCTGCTGAGACAGAGTGCCAAGGATAGGTGTTGCTTCCTCACAGTGGATGAGGGATACTGAAGTCTAAGATCAGAGTACCAGCTGGGCAGTCCCCTCTGACAACTCTTTTCAGCAGCTTGCAAGTGGTCCTCTTCTTCATGGCTTGCCATGACCCCTCCTTGGCCTCCACTAGGCAGCAGGACTTTCCCGGAAACTTACCAGGAAGATGAGCTGTGGCACCTGTCTTGTCACACAGAGCTTCCAGGGCAGGTTCCCACCCACAGCCACATAGGTTCCCAAGAGAGCCTGTGTTCACATGGGTCCTCGCTAAAGCTTCTTGAGTGAATTCGCTCCCTTCCCATGCTTCTCATTGGCAAACATTGATACAGGAAGGGATCAGGGTAGAGGCAAAGTCCTCATCCTGGAGGGAAACTGAGGCAGGTCAGGTGCTGATGGATCCAGGCTGCTGTCATGTCATAAAGAGGACAGGACCTCTTTGCTAAGTGACATCTTGGTCCCTCTGTTGTGGACCTTACATCAAGGTTCCATCTTGTTCCTCACCCCATCACGGACCCATACCCTCTCTGCCCCCTCCTCCTGGCTGGAATCTCCCCAGGTCATACATGCGCCATAGCCTGGCACACCTGTGCCTTCCTGTGGCCTTGTGCACTGGAAGCTACAGTGGCCCTATGGCTCTAACTAGCTCTGCAGGGTGTTGGTCATTGTCCCCCTCACAGCTTAGAGACTAGACCCCTGGCTCCTCCTCGATCTTGTCTCTGGAGCTCCCACCCTGGCCCCAATCTGCTAAGATGCAGGGATGCACTTGAGTCCTGCCTCCTTGTCCTCCACTTCCAGCCTAGGTTGTATTCAACTCTAGGTCTAGGCTGTTCCAACTGCCCCTAACTCATAAGTCTGGCTACTGTTACCCTTCTCAGGACTCTACTTCTGGGGGCCCAGCTTCAGGCCCTGCTGACCTAGCTTGCTTGTCCTCTGTCTTTGTCCCCTTCTAGTCTCGGTAGCCTACCCATCCTGTCCTCTGTCCTGCCTGGGGCCCTGGTTTGGGAGAGAAGTTCAGCCATGATCCCTGTGTGTGGGTCTCTCCAGAGTAGCACTGGCTGACCCCAGAAAAAGCTTTAGCACAAAGCAAACCCCAGTGTCACTTTCCTCAGGTGACCCTGTGATGTCTAGAGCCGTGCACCCTCGCAGTCAGAGGCTTCCAGACTGTTTCTGTGAGGCAAGAGTCTTTCCTGTCCTTCCACTTTTCCTTGGGGACAGCATCTTTCAGCAGCATGTCTTTTTGTTTTGGGGCCTGGATGGTTGGAAGGGTGGTGCTGGGCTGGAGGGAAAGTCCTTGTAAGCCTGCAGCCATCCACCAGGGGGTGCTGTGAGCTCACCTATGATAGCTGGTGCCTGGTGACCGAGGCCTGAGGCTAGCTAGTAGCTGGGTTGGAGGCTGGAGGCTGAGGTTGGGGAGTTAGGGAGGTGGGTTCCAGGGCCCTGGAACTGCAGTGCTGATCAGTGTCAGAGGGGGAGGAACTTCCTAGACTTAGGTCTGTGAGATACCTCCACTTCTGGAAAGCCAGAGCCTGTAGCAGCTTTGGCTGGACAATGATGTGAATAAGGTGACTCCTGGGCACAGAACAGGGGCCTGGAACCTGAGCTCGAGTGGGTTCTTCACCTTCTGCTCCAGTGTCCTGGCCTCTGCTTTGCCCTGGAGTAAAGCCCCAGTCTTAGTTGGAACACCTTCCTGGCCCCTAGGAGCTGCATCATTTGGTGGCTGTTTAGGAGGTATTGAGGTCACCTTGCATGTCCCACTGCTCTTGGCTGGTCCCTCAGCAATCTTGATATTGCACAAGGCAGTCTGAGGTATAGGTCAGCTCTGATGAGGCTGAGAGTCACCATCATGAGGTCCAGGCTGGGAGGGGGTTGAGTGCAGGTGGATGGGCCAGAGGGGTGGGAAGGGAGCCGGAGCACAAAATCTGACATAGTCTTGGAGGAAGAACCTGTGGAGTGCAAGGGTGCTAGAAAGGAGGGGACGATCCGCAGCTTGGAGGGGCAGATGGAGCAAGGTGGCAAGCCTTCGAAGCATGCCATGGCTGGTGTCTCTCTGTAAGAGCTAGAGGTGGTTGATGACCCCAAGGAAATAGTAGCTTCCAGACACAACAGGGCCGATGTATATATGAATTCACAGTGACTGGCAGCATGCACAAGATGTGCACACGTTCAAGCCAGATGCGGTTCCAGCACCGAGAGGCCAGTGCAGAGGCTATCTGCAATGGAAACCTGCTGGGAAAAGGAAAATCACTTTTCTTTTCTTTTTTTTTCTTTTTCTTTTTTTTTTTTCCCCCCCGGCAGTAACGTTTATTGGGGGTGGGGGCATTAGTCCTTCTTGGCTGCCGCCTTCCTCATGGCCGCCAACACGTTGCTCAGCTCCTCCCGTTTCCTCTTGGCGCGGATGTGCGTGCCCACCCTCTTCTTGATAAACTTGAGTGCGCGCTTGTCCTTGGACACCTTGAGCAGCTCCATGGCGCGTCGCTCGTAGGGCGCGAAGCCGCACACCTCCCGGATCATGTCCCGCACGAACTTGGTGTGCTTGGTGAGGCGCCCGCGCCGCCGGCTGTGCCTCGGCTTGCTGACGTTCTTCGTCACCTTGTGGCCCTTGTTGAGGCCCACGGCCATGGGATAGCGCAGGGCCATGGCTGCTGCTCTCCGATGGCGGCAGCGACAGGAAGGATGGCGCCGCGCGGAACCCTGGGATATCTGAAAATCCAGTGCAGTGTTATTGGGTATATCAACCACACTCCAGGGCAGGCCCGTGCCCAGGAATAGCTGGCCAACAAAAAACCAACATAAAGCAAACTCCATGGTTTCTTTGTGGGCTTTTTGTTTTATTTTGGCATTTTTTGTTTTATGTTTTTGTGTTTTTGTTTTGCTTTGAGAGAGAGAGAGAGAGAGAGAGAGAGAGAGAGAGAGAGAGAGAGAGAGAGAGAGAGAGAGGGAACATAGAGGAGGTGGGTAGGTAGGATCTGGGAGGAGCTGAGGGAGGGGAACAATATATAAAAATATATTGTATGAAAAAGGTTTTAAAGGAAAAAAGAAGAACTGTTTGTTGACTGACTGAGTGAAAGAGCTGCCCCGACTCTTGGTGTGTCTCTGCTCCTTGGTGCTCCCATCTGCCTGTGACCTGTCCACACGCAGGGCCTGGCCCAGTGCCCACACATCACAATGAACAAATGCAAGCGATATTATTGTCAATATCATGATTACTGGTGACACTTGCGACAGTGTTCTGGCCGGGGCAGGCTGCCATCTCCATTAGCACAGGAGGAGGCAGCCCAGGTGAGGCACTCTGGGAAGGTGGTGAGCTTCACACACAAGCTCTGCTCAGCATCACAGTGGACAGAGTATGGCAAACTGCCAGTGGCCTGGGGACAAGCCATAGTCCCGCCCCAAGTGCCTACCACAGTGTCCCCAAGCCAGGCACGTGCTTCTCGCTGCAAATTGACTTGGCACTGGGCATGCTGGAATGAGGCCGCGCCTGGCTCTCCTGCTGGGCTGGACTCCTTCCGAATGAAAGACAAATGTATTTTAATTTGTTTCAACTTGACACGAGTTCCCCCACCCCCTTGAGAAACTGGGTCACCAAGCAGAGAATCCCATAGCTGGCTCCAAATTACATTCTAGCTCATGAAACTGCCCTTGTTCCTCTTGAGTTGCAGGGAAGGTTCTAATGCTGCCTCTTTGGACACTTGGGCCTGGATTCAGAGAAGTTCAGGAATGCTGGGTGTTGCCAAGCAGACCAGGGACTGTGCTGAGTGGGTTCAGAGGGGTTCCTCTCTATGTCCCCCCGTCCCGCCTAGAGAAGGTACAGTAGGGCCCAGGCAGGGGCATGCACTGGCTCAGGGTTACACAGAAGTGCAGAGACACCTGGAAAACCTGCTGTGTCTGGATGCACTGGGCATTAGGAAGGCTACCCGTGCCCACTTCAGTCCTGTGCTACTTAACCTGGGCTGTATGCAGAGGCCTTGCTGGATTTGTCCCCCTTAGCTGTAAAGTGAGGTGACCACAAGGTTTGTACACTGGGGGCATGTGTCTAGATGCCATAGGTTACTAGTGTATTTTGGTACTTCAGGTCCCAGATGCCAAGAACAGTGAAAGTCAAGACCTGGGCCACTCAGGTAGTGGACCCTTGGGTCCCTCTGAGACAGGATTGCCACTTCCCCAGGAGACAGGGAAAGGCTGGTGCTGGGCATGCATGTGGCTGGTAGAGGACTTTGTCCAGATGCCTCTGCTTAGCTGGAATTAGATCAGCTAGACACCTTGGACCCCATACCCTGGGCAAGGCACTGCAGGACCACCACTTAATCTCCGCCTTAGTTTCTCCATTGAGACGTTGAGGTGATAACAACTCGACTGAAAGCCTGTGTGGAACTCATATAAGTGGGCACATGTGGAGAGGAGACATGTCTGGATATCAAAGTCCATTTGGATGGGGAAGGACAGACAGACATATGTGGGCCCTGGTGGCGGGCTGTGATCACAGGTGATGGCATTTGGATTCTTGGGGTTTTCCAGAGAGAGAGGGCAATCAAGGCCTCAGAAGGTCGTGGGTGTCATCCATGTAGGGACACTTCCTGTTCTAGGGCCCAACACTTCGTCCCTTGTGGACTCTGTGGGCAGGACTGTGGTGAGGTTGAAACTGCAGAGTGTGGCTGGAAGCAGCTCAAACCTCAAATTCTATTTCTGATGAGATTTCCCTGGCCAGCACCTTAATGAAGCCAGGGCTGCTGGGGCTTCTGGGAAGTGCACATGAGTTAATTACTCCTGTTCTTGCTCTGCTTGGCAAATGGTCCTGCCTCCCTGGGCTTTCTGTCCTCAGACCTCCAGCTTTGGCTCTAAGCCCAGGTCCTGCCCTGTCCCTGTCCCTGTCCTTCTATTTGTACACTGTCTTCCAATTCATGTGCCAAGTACACTCATGCCTACCTGACTACCTAATCCTGCACCACCCCTCTGTCCATCCATTTACACCACTACTTATGTATACATTGATTCACTCATCTCCTTCCATGCATCTACCCATCTACCTTGTCCACTGTCCACATATTTAGCCATTCATTTACCCACCCACCCATCCACTTATATATCATTTACCCATCATCCATCCATCTGCCCACCATCCATCCATTCATCTACTCATCCATCTACCTACCCACCCAGCACATACATTCATTGGTCCATCTGTTAATCTACTCATCCATCCATTCTCTTTTCCTCGCACTTGCTATCCATCCACATATTTATTCATCCATAAGCTACTCTTTTAGTTATCCATTCATCCACCTATTCATCCACCCATCCAGCCCACAAATTGTCCACCATCATCCATTCATTTATCTACAGATCTACCTTTCCACTGACACATCCACTTATTCATCCATCTATTCACTTATCCACCATCCATCCATCCATTCATCCATCCATCCATATTTCCTCTTATTTTATAAACACTTTTCTAAAGCTGTATGGGTGGGGAAGACATCCAAAGAGGGAAGAGCCCAATAGCTTCAGCTCTCCCATAGGGGCAGTCTGCTGAGTGACAGATAAGCGAATGGCTAGGGCCGTCTAGTCAGTGGGGCTGTGCCAAGTGTCAGTATGTATATAATCTTCCCAGAGGGCAGGGAAGCACCGAGTCTGGAGACCTCATCCCCCCATGCCAAACTTCTCTCCCCATGGCATCTCCTGATCTGGTGCGGAGGAGACAGCACCAGGAGAAGTCTGTGTCTGCCGCCCACATGGGGGTGGTGCCACCAGCCTGCCCACAAGCCATCTGCCTCGTCCTTTCCTTCCCCAAGCTTGCTGCAGCCCACGGGCTGCCTGGCTCCTGGCACAGTTGCCAGCTGCACATGTGGACCTGGACTCCTGCCCCACACAGTGCCCAGCACTTGCTCTCATGGACAGATAGAGATGGGGGTCTGCCTGGGTGCTTTGGCAGGAGCACTGTGACACTCCCAGGTCACAGGACTTATAGCTACAGGTGCTTCTGTGTTCAGTGCGCTGGTCAGTTCTTGGGACTGTGCTGGAGATGGTAATTTAGGGGCCTATTGCTGCTTCTGGGAAGTGGGAACTGAGGTCCACCAGTGGCCACTTCAATGTGACTCAGATTTGTGGGCAAGGGGAGGGCTGAGGTAGCACCCACAGCATTAGATTCAGCCTCATCCTCCAGGGAACCCAGGAGGACAAGGGCTTGCACACTGAAAGTGCTGGCCACGGGTTGGTGCAGCTTCAACTTGTGTGGTGTATTGTCCAGAGGGGCTCAGAGGAGAAGGGAGGAGGGTCAAGTGCTCCAGGGGAAGTAGTGGCCCTGTGCATGCTCCCTTACTTCCTTTTGCAGAATGTTCCTGTGTTTCAAGCTTGCCCTTTGGAAAGCACTTCCTCTTTTGTCATTGCCCACAACACCTTACAAATTTCCCCTGAGCTTAACTCTGCACTTGCCTTGGCTGGAGGCAGCTTTGGGTCAATTTCCTCATGTAATATTGCTTCCATATTGGAGACCTATTCTCAGCTCATCTGGTGGCTTCTAGGAGGAGGCTGAGTTGTGGTCAGCATGTTCCATGTTTTTCTGAAACCCCATGTGCAGCAGATGTGGACAGAAGGTTATTCCAGCGAGTGTGGGTACTGACCACAGTGTCCTCCAGTGAGTCACCACTGTGCAGACTCTGGGGGTGGGTTTGGATTCACAGACACTTAGCATGGCCTTTCTAAGCTGGTTCCCTACCTTGGTTGTGACATGGGAGTTTCAGGGACCTGGTTTATGCTTCTAGGAATGGAGAGGAGGGTGTGTGGGGAGACAGCCTGGGCCTCTCCCTCCTCCCTGGTGTCCCCAGGAGCTGGCTGAGCTAGGGAGGAAGGGCCTCACTGTCTCTCAGCCACCACCTTCTCTGTTCCTTTCTTTGAGTGCTTTCCTGGACAGAATGCCTCCTCACAGTCCTCTTTGGTCATATTTATTTTATTCTATTGCTTTGATCTATAAAATGCCCAGGAAACACTCTTTCAGAAGGTGCTGTCTTCTGCCTCCCTCTTTAGTAGTAAAATATGGTGTTTAAACATTTCATGGCCTCAAGGTAAATTTTTTATCGAGGAGTCCCTCAGGTTGCAGGCTGGTGGCTTGTCTCTATTGGAGATTAGGATCACTGAGGAGAGCATGGCAAGCAGGCTGGGGTGAAGGGGCCAGTGTCCACTGTGGTGCCCTGGTGATACAGGCTTGCTGGGGAGGTGGGAGGAGGCTGACACGAGCTTCTTTTTTTTTCCATGGTGTCAGGACAGAAGATATAAAAGTGTTAAGAGCCCATATTTATTGAGAAACTGCTCTCCTCCCCACCTTTCCTTTCTCCTGAACACTTGTCTTCTTCTTTGCCCTGGTCTGGCAAGGCTGCTGGGGCACAGGCTGGGCTGCCAGCTCCCTGGGGGTTCTGCCTTTCTGATAGGTCCACATCTTCAGCCCAGGGCCTGCCTGACTGTTACACTCTCCCTAGTCCAACTGGGAGTGACTTATCTGACATCTGGGTTGTGGAGAACCTTTTCAAGCTGGTATACCTTCCAGGGTGTAGGGACCACAGAGAAAGAGACAGAAGCCAAAAGCCAGACCAGTGCATGTGGATCTCAAAGCCCTCTCAAAGCTCCTCTGGGGACTGCTGGTGTCTCCTTCTCAAGCAGTGTGTGTTCTTCAGCACCCATCAACGCTTACTGCAA